CAATTTTCAGAAATTATTTGAAAAAGGTCAAAATAAAAATGAAACTTCTACACCCTGTATCTCCGAAACTAAGCATTTTACGACATACATTTATACAAACTTTTTTACTTATTTTTATCTGCAGAATATCTTGCCGAAGTTTCCGGAATACAGTTCGGACCACCCTGTATATCCTATTTTTCAAATTACCCTAATAATATATTTATTTCCAGGACTGCCATATTACTACCCATACTACTCTTAATGCTCACCCAGCAAGATATTTCATGTGAAAGAGAACACAAAGTGAGTTTATCATCAACAAAATTTCAGATACCAATCCTAGTAATATTTATCTAAACATTTATAATCTCTGCAGGTCCACAACATAGTGCTATATCCAGAAAAGCACTCCTGGTGCCAGACAACGCCGATCCAGCAAGTGGTCGCCTCTCCAGGCTTCAAAGCTGTCACCATTCAAAACAACGTTTGCGTCGGCGCATGCTTCAGTTACAGCATACCCAAAAGCGAACCCGCCGAACCCGGAGAGTTGATTGGTCCGTATTGTGACAGCTGTCAACCGTCGGAAATCGAATGCTACCACGTAAGGACCTATTATTTTTAAAAAAAATCTACTTAAGTTTGATTTTCATGTATCCGTTATCCGTTGATACGATCGTCCGACGGCGCTATGATTGGTCATAACGTTTTCGTTCCACTTTTCATCCATAATATTTTTACTCTAGCCCGCCAACGGAGAAAGATCGTACGATAACGGACGTTTTGACAAGTTTGGCTAACCTTAATAAAAATATAATAGTACAATAGCTAGCAGCGTCGGGAAAACGGACATTTTAAGAAAGCTGGTTCTCTAATATATCTTTTGCTAAGCTCTCTCGACCAAAGTGCGGGCCGTCTGGCTGCCGGTAGACTACTGCGGCTCACTACTGCGCAACACATCTGTACAAGGTATCCCATTTTCGTGTGTTTTATAGGATTTCTCGTTTATGAATAGCGATACAATAATGCGATTTTCACATTACTTTGTCACTTTTTTATGAAACTAAATATGCTGCACATAAGTTTGTCCTAGCCTCCTTAGTTCCTGAAATACAGGTCGAATTTGTGATGCACAGTAGTGAACAGATGTTGAATACAGATATGATGCGCAGTAAAGAACGCAACATCTATCGACAGTCAGACGGTCCGCATTTTGTTCAGGGAAGTATAACAAAAGATATATATTAAAGAATTCGCCTTCTTAAAATTCTCTCTCGAAAATGTTGCTAGCTCTTAGACTATAAGTAAAACAGCAAAATCGTTATGGAAATGAAAATATAAATTGACACCAATCACAAACAAGTCTTAATTTCCTAACCAATCGAAGTCTTTAAATTCAACCTATAAAATTAATATCGTATCGTCGGATAACGGATGCATGAAAATCAAGCTTTAAACCTTCAGGAATTAAGTCTATCCAAAACTTCTGATTTTTGCCGTACCGAGCGCTGCGGTCGGTAATTTTTAAAATCAACTGAAAAGCACCAAGCCTTTAGGTCTAAAATATTAAATAATTAAGTTTATCATGCTTGTTTTTAGGTCAATTTACACGCTGACAGTAACTTAGATGACTCGAAAATACTTCAGAAAAAAGTTCAAATAATAATGAATTGTTCCTGTCAAAGCTGCGATAAGATTCGTCCAGATGATTATGCTATTAATGCTACCAATACTCAAGAATTACCTAAGCATCTGTATGTGGACCAAGAACAATTCAAACCTACAGAAGACGTCATACATCCAGGTAAACAATATATTTTATTTCTTGCTGAATATACCGAATGATAAAGAAAACGGCACCCAGTTGGCTTGGAAATGACGGTAGATGACATTTCCCATATAATTTTACATATAAAATGACAGCGATCTTCATTTCATAGGACGACATGGGATGACATAGATTCTAACGCCATTTTTATTCGATCATACGGTATAAGCTTATATCGTCTTTGTTACGATAAGTGATGGGAAAAACCGATGAATTTTAATAATCAATCAAGCGATTTCTATAATCGAGCGATCACTCGAGCGAAAATTCGCTCGAGTTAAATTACAACAATTATTAGTTAATCCAAAGGATAAAACACCTCCACTGGAAAGGTCGGGTATTTATGAAATTTCTTGTAAAGACTGTAATCAGAAATATGTTGGGCAAACTAGAAGATCAATATTAACTAGATTTAAAGAACATTTAGCTCAGATAAGATATGGTAGACCGGATAAATCTTGCGTTACTGAACATATTGTTGATAATGAACATTGTATAGATCTTAATAATTTAAAATTAATTAATCAAGTCTCAAATTACAGGCAATTAGATGCATATGAAAGCATCAGAATTAATAAATGTAAAGATCGTATGAACAGAGATAACGGTCCAATTCATTCAAGTTCTTTGTTGGGCTCGGTGGGCTCTGACTCGGTTGGCTAGATCTTGCCACGCCCACTCGGTACCCACTGAGCGAGTATATAAACGCTAAAATTGTACTTTTTAGATTAGTCTTGATCATCTGCTGATGATGCTAACTTGGTTAGCGAATGGCGCGTCCAGTGTAAAAGTAAAAGTGTTTTGGTGTGTTGTGGTGATTTAGTGTTTTATTTTGCTGTTTAACACCAAATGTTGCAACCCCCAACTGTAATATTAGCTTGTAGACAACATTTATTTTTAATGCACTATAAAATTTATCTATTTTTTTATTTTTTTTTTTTGCTAAGGACACGGAGGGGCGCTTTGACATAAAATTTTACTATTAAGTTTCATATCAATAGATGACTATTTTCTTTTATGTTTTCAATCAAAATAATACAATTTGTTGTATTCTTTTTCAGATTTATTTGAAGATCAAAACACACAAAGCAAACAGCATTTCGAACACGACATCAAGTTAAAGGACAAGTTCAAAAAATGGTTCGAACAGATTCAAAACGAAATTGCCGAACATAAAGTAAGTAAAAATGCTTTGCCACAATTTCTGAGGTTATGATTGACGTTTTCTCTTCTCCAGAACACCGAATTGGAAGACTTGAACAAAAGTCTGAACGATATCCAAAAGGAAAACGAAAAAATCAGAAAAGACCTGGAAGGACTGCCTAAAAGCTTTGGCCTGGAAGGTGCACCAAGCCACCATAAAGGTAATCTTTTTTAAGTTACACAAAGTTACAAAATAACGCAACGGAAAAATTTTCGGAAGTATTTTTTGTAATGGAACACCCTATATATTAATTGATTCTCGGAGAAAAATAAAAGTTTCATTAGAGAAGTATATGGCTAAAATGTAAGGTTTTTGATATATTTAAAATTTTCTAAAAATGAAGAACAAATTTGAAATTTCAATAAAAGCTACCTAATTTAGAATTTACCCGGTATAACCTAATATGTAGTTAAAATAACCATTGTGCTCTAAATGAAATTAAAACTTAACTCAAAAAGTTATACAGGGTGAGACAAAATTAATATTGAACATTGGTCACATTTGAAAGCAAGTTACTCTTTTATTTTAAATGGAACACCCAGTATAATATTCCGATATTCAATGGGGAATTTATGTCTCTTTGAAATATTATTAAGATTGCCTACCCCTCAAACAAAGATTTTCCTAGATATTTTTATTTTTATGATTTAGTGACAGTAGATATTTATTATTTGGTAAAATCTATGTTGCCTGTTAAGGTGGTAGGCAACCTTAATAGTATTTTAAAGATATATGAATTCTCCACTGAGTTTTGAAATAATATACCGGGTGTTCTATTTAAAATAAGACAGTAAATTGATTTTAAACGTGACTAGTGTTCAATATTCATTTTCTCTCACCCTGTATAACTTTTCGTATCAAATTTTAATTTGATTTAAAGTACAATAGTTATTTTAACTACATAATGCGCTGTGCCGGATAAAAATTATACTTTAGGTAGCATTTATTGGAATTTTAAATTTGTTCTTCATTTTTAAAAATTCTTAAATATGTTACATTTTAGCCATATACTTCTCTAATGAAACTCTTAAATTTTTTTTTTATTTTTCTCCTAGAATCCGAAAATCAATTATTATATAGGCTGTTCCATTAGAAAAAACACAACTTTGTTGTGTAACTTTTTTTGGGGACACCCTGTAGAATTCTCTATATTTTTAAAAAATGCTCTAAATCAACCTACAAATGCTCTCAAAATTTCATTTCAATACAAGCTGTTGTCCTCCGTATGAGAGGCGCCATCCTCTATTATAATAAAGTCAAATACTAAAATTTATAAAAAAAATGAGTTTATAAATATAATAAAGTTGATATAATTATATACAGCTTGATAAAAATTTCATGAAAAAAGTTATATATGTTTTTGACAGAATTTCATTAATATAACTGTTGACATTCTAGGAGCACACATCGGTATGGGAATCGTGCATCATCCAAACGACGTTGCGGATGTAGATAGCACAAAATCGGTTGATCACAAGGTCGGTCACCATGGGCATCACGGTCATCACAATCACCACCATACCGAGAATGAAAATAGGAGCGATAATAGTGCACACCATCACTATTTAGGAGAAGAACAACAAATAGGTGAGATTTTGTATAACTTATTTTGTTATATTTCTAGAAAAATCCTAATTTAAGTTATAAAAAATATTTGTTTTGTTATAACAAATTTAAAACAGAATACACCAAAACACATTTGTTGCATATGAAAAAGAAACAGTTAACATTGGCAATTTATCTAAATTTAATGCTATACAGTATGTCCCCGGATTGTCTTTATAAGAGAAAAAACTTTTTTATTATTGACATATAGAGAAAAATGCATACTTCATAAAAAAAATTTGCTTGTTCTAAAATGGTTAATCACGTGTATATTTTTCCAAATTTTCATACTGTTTTAGAGAAATTTAGAAAAAAATATGAAAATATGGTTTAATTTTTTCTATGTAAAAAAATAGTGGGTGTTGGTAGAAGGGTGAAAATTTAGGGTTGTATTTATTTTTTAATGCCACATCATAACTGTCGAGATGGATTGTGGGTTGTGGGAAATTTTTTGCGCGGGCGTTTTAAATTCTCTGTATTACTGGGAGTGGCCAAGCTCATAAATATCCAGATTATCCAGAAGATACCAACAGGATATTTTGTTGCCTTGACGTAATATATATCTATCTGTATGATTTATTGCATTTTATGTAATATAAAAAGTAGTACATTATTTATTTTTCCTAAATATCTAGACGATATTGTTAGGATATTTTATTATCATGAGCATGTTTGGATATCTCAGCTGGATGTACATTAGATATACGACAGAGATATTTCTGAGACATCTACAGGATTTCAGGATGTCTGGAGGATATCCTATAGATGTCTTTATAGGATGATCTTTTTTAGTCTTGCTCATCACTAGTTACATTCAAATTATTTTGGTGTATTGTGCTTAATTTGAATAATGTCCTCTATCTCTAGATTTATATATTCCTAACTAATTCGACTCTGTTTTTAAATTTAGGCACAAATTTGGAGTCTCGTTAAAGGACCTCATGGCTCTATGGTAGCCGCACCAACCGACGTCAAACTGCACGTAGACAGCGATTCCCTAAAGCCCAACGATGAAGGTCTTGTTGTCGAATACGAGAACCACAACAGGGACACTGATCACAAAGTGGCAGAAATTATCCAAGGAGTATAGAAATAAATTGATCGTCTGCGTATCCAGGATACCACCAATAAGATTTTTACAGTTTTAAAAGCTACCGTGACGGCTTATTTTTTTATGTAAATGTGCGTTCGGTGGTATCTTGGATAGGGTCATTTTTTTATTAACATTCTTAATGATTAACAAAAACTATAGTTTAATCAAACAAATAACACAGTGTGTAACTCAAATGTGTTGTGTCATATGCAGTGTGTTATTTCAAAAAATTAATCTTTAAATGTTTTCTATAAAAGCCAAAAGAAGCTACTCATTGGATAGTTTGATTATTAGCACTTCTTTTAGTAAAATTGCATAAAAAAATATTATTTTAGGTGAATCTATATGGAAAAATTCTAGTCTAAAAAGTTTTTGTTGCTTAAATTAAATTATTAACTTTTAAGTGATATACGTATACTTACTTATAGTTTATGTTATATTTGTAAAGTTTATACAGGGCGAGTCTTAAACAAGTGCACATATTTTTAGGGCTGGTAGATCTCGATAGAAGAAACATATTTTCTCTTTATTATATTTTATTATCTATATTTTTCAAATATATGCCTAAAACAACCGAGTTATTTTACCTAAAAAATTTATAAAAAGGTTTTTTTGAAGTGAACGTCCTTTACGCGCGCTGGGAGTAATAATTCAAGGCCGTGACACACGAGCGCTCGACGTAAAAAACTATATGTTACGCGTAAAAAAATATTTGTTACAGGTAAAAAACTATTTTCTGCGCGTAAAAAACTGCGTAAAAAAATTTTACTCGTAAAAAACTATTTGTTACATGTAAAAAACTATTTGTTACACGCAAAGAAATATTTTTACGCTTAAAACCCTATTTGTTACATGTAAAAAAGTATTTTTTACGTGTAAAAAAACTACTTTTTGCGGGTAAAAAACTATTTTAAATTTAACTAAAAAAAATTCAAAAAATTTTTGAAAAAAAAAGGTTTTCAAGTGTTTTTTTCCTCAAAAAAAAATCTCAGACAAAAATATTTGCACTTATTTAAGATTCACCCTGTATTTATGTATGTATCCTAATTTTCTAACAATGTACACGCTTGCCATTTTAAAAGTACAATACAGGACAAGAAAAATATATCTAACCGTTTCCTTAGGTCTTATAACTTAGGTGGATAAGCACAATCCTTTAGACAAGGGTACAATACAGGGTGTCCCAGAAATAAGTGCAAGTATTTTAAAGGGTGGTAGATCTCGACAAAAGAAACATATTTTCTCTTTATCGTTTTTCAAATAAGTCCAAAATAACGGAGTTATTCTACTCTGAAAATTCCCAAAAAAATATTTTTTGCTAAAATTTTGGGAACCACTGGATCTTTTCTGAATTTTCTTTCTTGTAAATTTAATATAATACCTGTGTTGCCATATTATCAAGAAATTCTGTTTTTTACCTAAAAACTAAAAAAATCCAAAAAAAATCAAAACATGAATTATACTACCAGTTAAAATACTTGCACTTATTTTTGGGACACCCTGTATAAACGAAAAAAAAACGGCGTCATAGATGGCTTGGGAATAAAGATCATCGATCAAATTTAAGGTTATTTCACCCACTATCGCATTTATTAAGCATTTGTTATACGTTACACACTCCTTATTATTGATCTTTTTTTATTTAAAATCAAAAATATACCTACTATAAATATTTTTCTTGCTGCTGTAACAAGTACAAAACAGTTTTGAAGTATATTAATATATGTTTACGAAAATATTGTATATATTACTATAATGAGAACAAAATTGGGCTGTGTGGTTTACTTAGGGACAAAGTCCAGAAGTAAAATTTTATTTTTTAAAAATTTCTATTCTCTTGTTAAATGTTTAAAATTTTTATTAAACCGTACTTCGAATGTGTGTATAATAATATACGTAATAATGTACTACTATTCTTAATATCTTTATTTTTGTACTTAGTCTATATATCTTTTGATGAATAAAATTTTTACAAAAATAATATGTTGTTTACTTTTATTACCAACCCTTAATACCTGAGATCAAAATCATACATCATACAAGTCTATGATTTACAAAAATATACCCCTTAAAGCTACTCCTCACCTCTTTACTCTTATGTACTCCTGATAGCAATGACAAAGCATAAAAATTCTCCTGCAATTTTTGTTTAAAGTTGAATGAAAATATCTACCTTGTATCAGGAGCACATAAGAGCCAGGAGGTACAAATTAATAATATAAACCAATTACTTATACTAATATAATGCAAATAAATTTTGCTCCTAATACTTTACCTCTTTGCTCTTATATACTCCTGATCAAAATCCAGCTCTTTGACAAAATGGTGAATGCGATTTGTTACTCCTGGTATCGAAAAATACCTCCTTGCTCTTATATGTTCCTGATACAAATTCAAGATTTCTCGATTTTTAATAAAAATTACCAAAAATAATTTCAGCCGAGCAAATTTTGGAGTACCTGACCAACGAGTTAGAATGAGTTAGATTTTTTCGAAAAACGTTAATAACTGCCAAACTATTAAAGATATCAAGGAACGCAAGACGGCAATCGATAGAGAATTCGATTCTCTATAAGGGTGCAAAATTAGGGGATGATCGGAGCGAAAAAAATTGTTTGCCGAGAAATGAAGGAAGGTTTACCCCTTACCTCATTTTTCGCCAAAAATTTTTTTTGTCTTCGATCATCCCCTAATTTTGTACCCTTATAGAGAATTGAATTCCCTATCGATTGCCGTCTTCCGTTCCTCGATATCTCTTATAGTTTTCGAAATATTGGGGTTTTAATTTTTGAAACGAGTTCGAATTGCTAGAGATAGCAGAAATATCGTTGATCGATGCTATATTTACATGTGTTACTAAATGTACGTCTTATCTCTTCACTTTTATGTATTCCTGATAGAAATCGGCGGTTTTTGAGCAGGTTTAAAAATGTTCGTGGGATCTTTGTCAAAAGTTGAATTTTCTCGGACTTGTATCAGTACATAAGAGCGAAGAGGTATCTATATACTTTAAATTTTTCGTGCAATTTTTGCTAAAGATTGAAATATCATGGATTTATACCAGGAGTGCATAAGAGCCAGGAGGTAAAGGTAGGTATTATTTTCTTTAAAAAAACTGTATATTCCTGAACAACTTGTTATATTTTTTAGTATTAGGATACATTATTTTTGTAATATTAAATGACTTTCTATTTGTTCATGATTAGACAGTATTTCTAATATATTTTTTCGTTGAATAAAACTCATTTACTTTTAATTACTGTTTATTAACGAATTATTTTTTATTGACAATATAAAATGTATATTAATATTCAAGGTGGCTGATGGACATGCTGATGTCTATGTTGAGGTGAATAAATCTTCTGGCTACTTTTCTGGAAAGTTTTGGTTCTGTAAGAAAAAAATAAAGAAATAATTAATTAATTGTTCACTAACAAGCTTGAATAAAAATATTACTTCAATAGCTACAAATAACGAGTAAAATGGTAGGGCACATAAAATATTATAATGGAAAATAAATTTCTTGCAATTTTTAGGTATATAATAAAATTATATAAGAGTTTCTTGCCTTAAACTGCTAATATAGAAATTAATTCCATGCTGTGTTCGTCATAATGTGGATCAACCTGCTCTCACTACCGGTTTCGGGGTCCTACCCCATCATCAGGTGAGCTTGGGTATTTCCACAAAACGACGAGCACAGCGCAGAATATATAAATACGACTTGTCGTAAAGTAGCGGTAAGATATTAAGTCCCGCATCGCGAGATAGCGGCCTGCGCGCAGGTTGCAGATGAAATCTGAGACATTTCGGTTTTTGATAAAATCGACAGGAATGTGCCGAGGAATTTTTTCAAAAAATTTTTAAAAATTGTTTTTGCTTATTTTGTAACATGTTGTAGTCCTGAAAATGCACTTTACAAAAACGTTTCGTTTTTGAGGTTTACACTTTTTGTTCCAGATATATTCGTTGTTAAATATAGCGGAAAACAGAAAAGAATATTTCTTTTGTAGATTTTCTCAAATAACTCAAGATCTGTTAAAGATTTCGAAAAACGGTTTGCGGTAGTCAATTCTACGTATAATGAACTGTCAGTAAGCATATTTTAGTTGAAATCTGAGACATTTCGGTTTTTGACAAAATCGACAGGAATGTGCCGAGGAATTTTTTCAAAAATTTTGAAAAATCGTTTTTGATTATTTCGTAATATGTTGTAGTCCAGAAAATGCACTTTACAAAACCGTTTCGTTTTGGAAGTTTCCACTTTTTGTTCCAGAGATATTCGTTGTTAAATATTGCGGAAAACAGAAAAGAATACGTATTTTGTAGATTTTCTCAAATAACACAAGATCTGTTACAGATATGGAATCGCACGCAACAGACAACATACGAACCGGTAGTGAGAGCAGGTTGATCCACATTATGACGAACACAGCGTGGAATTAATTTCTATATTAGCAGTTCAAGGCAAGAAACTCTTATATAATTTTATTATATACCTAAAAACTGCAAGAAATTTATTTTCCATTATACATTTTGGGCTAGCCGAAAAAAGCCTTTATTTACTATCGATAGTTGTGCCTCGGTGGAACGAAAGTACTACCATTGCACGCAGGCCGCTATCTCGCGATGCGCGAGTTAATATCTTACCGCTACTTTACGACAAGTCGTATTTATATACTCTGCGCTGTGGTCGTCATTTTGTGGAAATACCCAAGCTCACCTGATGATGGGGTAGGGCGCCGAAACCGGTAGTGAGAGCAGGTTGATCCACATTATGACGAACACAGCGTGGAATTAATTTCTATATTAGCAGTTCAAGGCAAGAAACTCTTATATAATTTTATTAGATACCTAAAAACTGCAAGAAATGTATTTTCCATTATATAATTTGGGGTAGCCGAAAAAAACCTTTATTTACTATCGATAGTTGTGCCTCGGTGGTACGAAAGTACTACCATTGCACACAGGCCGCTATCTCGCGATGCGCGAGTTAATATCTTACCGCTACTTTACGACAAGTCGTATTTATATACTCTGCGCTGTGGTCGTCATTTTGTGGAAATACCCAAGCTCACATGATGATGGGGTAGGGCGCCGAAACCGGTAGTGAGAGCAGGTTGATCCACATTATGACGAACACAGCGTGGAATTAATTTCTATATTAGCAGTTCAAGGCAAGAAACTCTTATATAATTTTATTATAAAATATTATGATATATAGAAATTTTGGTAATATAAAGAATTTTTTTAATAGTAATACAAAGAAACAATTTGGTTAAGTTAGCTGTATTTGTAATTAAGAAATATTTTAAATATAATAATAAAAAACTGTTAAAAAGTAAATTTAAAATTTAGTTTATTTATAGGCAACTCCATATACACTTAAAAATATTTATAGTTGCCTGAATAAAAATAATCTAAATTGTTAATGTATTTATAGTTGCACAAAACTAAAGTAAATTATGGGCTAAAATGATTTACTTGAAATTAATCATTTATAGTTACATGTTTTAAAAAATACAATAAATACCGTACGATCGAATAAAAACGGCGTCAGCGGTAGCTATAAAATAAAGATAGCTGCCATTTTATATGTAAAATTATATGGGAAATGTCATCGATCGTCATTTCATAGCCATCGCTGACGCCGTTTTAATTCTATCTTACAGTACTAGGTATTTATCAAATATATTCGGCTTAAAAAATACACGTTTTAGTACAATTTACCTAAAATTATTTAGTTTCCTCCCCAATGATGAATTTCGTCCTCATTGCACTGTTGAATGTTGAATTTAATCGGTCTAATAGCATCTTGACGAGGGTGGCTGAAGTGCTGCTATCCAAAGAAATAAATTTGTAAACCAGAATGATAGCCAAACATCAGGATTATACAAGGGGTGGGTAACCCAGGTCTCTTGTTTTGGGTGGTCTTTATGTGCTCGTGTGCATTATTAACAACTTTCCTAAAGAAGAACATTATAATTAATGAATTATATTGAAACAATGCAAAATTGTTAGTCAAAATATGACAGCAGTGCATAGTATCTTAAAATATTTATAAAGTTTTTTTCATCTGAAGGTACCTATTATGTAATTGTTAAAAACGCAAGGCCCCTTTAGGTATACTAACTTATTTTAAAAGACGTAAAAAATACTTGTTTGCAGATACAAGTAAACATCTAAAAAATTTATATAGGAATACAAAACAACCTTCAAATCTGCTAAAAAATACTAATAAATATCTCTAAATATGAAGCAATATTCTAAGTAACTATATTTTTAATGTACAATAGAGATCTCAAGGAATGTATCTATATTTCCATACACTCGATTTTGCAAAAGAAAAGTAAGAAAATAGGAAAAATGTATCAGCTTTTAATGATGATGTAATTGAAATATTTGAAAGTGAAAAAATCTATAGAAAACAGGCAAACTAATGGGTACATACATTTTCAGGAGATTAAATAGGCATTGAGCAACAGAATGAACTAAAATAGTGCACAGAAAAATCACTTTTTCTATTAAAAAATTGGAAAAATCGCTATCTCCATAATCATAGAATAAACTAACGTCCGTAACCATGGTACAAAGAAAACAAGGTATGATCGATAGCGGCTCCAATTTCGTTAAGTTTGCGCATACCACCTGTGACGTCATACGCCATACAAAAAAATATCCATATTGTTCAATTGCCACTAATAAAAAAAGACCTAAAATAGGGAAGAATTAGGACATAACCCCAAAAGTTATGTTTTGACATCGAGCTTGACATTTGAAAAATTATTTTCACACTTTGACACAATCAAATTTCACAGATGACACAATCTGTTTGACAATTTAAAATTGGCGCGCAGAGCTTGCCGACCAATGGTGCCGTTTATCACCTGTGACGTAGTGACCAACCTGCGCAATATCATACCTTGTATTCTTTGTATCATGGTCCGTAACCATGGAAACACTTTAGTTCAACATTTTCTCACCTTTCAACAATGGCGCTACCTGTATTCTTCTTCTTTTTCGTATTCCAAGTCTTAAGAGAACAGTAACCACAGAATAAAAGTACAGTCCTTCTTCTTCTTATAAATAAGGTTCGAAACATATATACCCACAGATTTGACGTAGATTCCCTCTTCTTTTCTTTTAGATGGCTTGAACATATATAAGTCATCTAGCCAGTATCAAAAAAAAATCAAAAGGAGCGAGTCTAAAATATAATCTATGGTGCATTAGACAAAGACAATAACAAAAATAAACAAATACAGTAAAAGTAAATAAATAATCCCTTTAATCTTTAATTGCCAATAATTATATTAAAATTGTGCCGAGAACGCTTATCGGTGCTGTAAAAATTATATCCCTCAATTTTTAAGAAACAAAAATGAATATTAAGAATACAACTAAACAAACAAATCTTATAATAGGTGTATGAAGAGCCTGAAAGTGAAGAAAACTATAGGAAGCAAACTAATGAGTACTTACATTTACAGGATTTTTAACAGGCCGTAAGGAACAACAGAACACACCCAAAAAGATAAAAAAAAGGCCTCCTTTATACCGTATGATCGAGATGACCAAGAAAAAAACGGACTAGAAGTCATTTCCGCCATTTCCAAGCCAAGTGGACGCCGTTTTTTCAGATCATACGGTACTATGACTTTATATTATCAAAGCTGCCAGGAAATAAAACAATATTGGCAATTTAATCTACTAGAAACTCTTGATCACAATATATTTACTTCACTATACATATAAAAACATACTGATTACAGAAGAAAATAAATATATATTCACTAGAATGTATCATGTATGTAATAACTATAATTACAAAATATTCATTATCTATTATAGTTCCAGAAATAGAGGGAATGGTCGTAGAACACGAAAATATAATAAGATATGTATAAATAATACATAGTAAAAAAGTAATGAAAAAACTTTCTATGTAAACAATAAGGTCGTTATACCTTTTATGCATTAAAAATTTACATACCCTGTGATCGAAAAAAAAACGGCGTCGGCGATGGCTATAAAATGAAGACCGCTGCCATTTTATATATAAAATTATATGGGAAATGTCATCGATATTCATTTCCAAGCCAACTGGACGCCGTTTTTTTTCGATCATACGTTATCTCATATACATCATTCAACACATCGATCGATAAAACGTATTTTTGCCTAGAACAAACATATTATCCTCTTAGAACAAGTTCTCAAGTACTGAACAACAAAAATTAACGTCAACTTGACATTCCTCCCCGAATTTAGGTATTTCAAATTTACGGTTTTGTAATATTTCTAACCAATATCACCAAATTTGGTTATTAGAAGAATATATGAAGAAATACGTACAGAACATGGTTCAATTTTAACCATTGACCAATTTTAAAGATGATGAATTTTCCAACAAATGGCATTTTTTTTGTTATTAAGTTATATTGAAATAAGCCCGACTACTATCGTGACGTCAGAAGCCATTGTCTTCGGCTTCTGTGTGTATGTATTAAGATACAAAAATTGACACACAAAACTATTATAAACGATATTTACTTTTTGTCATGTTAAACTGATCAAAGCAAAAAAGTTTTTAAAATACTTTAATCTAAATTTCATCCTGTTAAAATTGAACCCTCTGTATCTTTCTTACTTTTATTACACCCGAATTTGTTGCAAAATATTAAATGTATATAAACTTTGTTTCAACACACTTGGAACACTCTTAACACTTCTTTTCTGTACTGTATGTCTTTTTAAATCATAGTGTCTGTAAGATTACCTAATTTTAACATCAAAAAGTCCATCACGCATCACACTTGTGGCTTCGCATTTACCATGCATTTACCCAAAATATTACAATAATAGTGCAAATCAGTTTTTCAAACTAATATCCATACTTAAACAATAATAATGAGCAGATTCATTGTAGTATAATAATAGCCCCAGATCCCAGGGCCAGCAGACATTACTTACAGTGTAAGAGCTGGGCTACATAAAAAACCTTATCATCGTTACATGGCTAATTTTTTGTGTGAAGTATCCTTTTGTGTAGCTATTATGAAATAGTCATGTCTGCCAGCGCGATCCAGGGGCGGCCAATCGAAAGGGTGAAATTTTGACACTAAAACTATTATAAGGTACACGAGTTATAACTGTGAAAATAGCTTTTATTTATTATTAAGAAACGTGGAAAATTGTTGGTAGACATTGTTCTGGTCGCTAAAATGCCGACAGACAACGCGAAAGAGGCATGAAATTTTAAAAATTATCTCAAAAATTATTAAAAAATGAAATTTGAAAAATAAAAAATAAGTATGGTTTGGTTTGGTTTGGTTAAAAGCCGTATGCAAAAGGGCAGACAAAAATATCGTGGCTAAATCAGCCTGCAGTTATCAAAAGCGCGATATTACTCTAGCGCTTTCAGGGAACGCTCGCCGCCTCATCCATTTAAGTATAGATAAATCATGTATACGATTATATTATCAATATATTTTTTATTATTTCAAAGCAGATATCATACATTTACTATTCTGTCTCACCGATTTGTATCTGACTCATCGTACTGCAGATCCCCGCTCTCCCAAACGAGTCTTCCTCTGAGTCGATATCTGCACCGTAAATTTTTTTATAGACTTATTATGGTTCAATTGATAACGCGGCCAGCGTTTTCTGAAAACGCTTATACAGGGTGAGTCTTAAATAAGTGAAAATACTTTTAAGGGTGATATATTTCGACCCCAGGAACACGTCTATGAGTTTTTTTTTCGCAAAAAAAGATGTAGAAAATCGTGCAATGTTTTTAAATTTTCCTGTATATTTTAGAAAACTTTTTAGAACAGCCTATTCACCGCAAATTTACCAACAGTATAATTATTTCTTAACCTATCATGCTTACGACTTTACTCTATGGCTATGACACTAAAATAATGGATGCAAGTACAGAAAAAAAACAGGTGTCTCACAAAATTATTTAAAAATAAATAAATTTCTTTTGAAATTTTCATACTTGAATAACTCGGTTATTTTGGACTTATTTGGAAAACGGTAAAAAGAAAATATATTTCTTTTATTGAGATCTACCAGCTCTGAAAATATTTGCACTTATTCAAGATTCACCCTGTAGAGTAATATGGCGTTTTTTATAACTGTCTACCGTTGATTGAGCCACGATTTTTTATCTGTCCTTTTGCATACGGCTTTTTAAATAAATAAACATGACATTCCACCAATCGACATGCATGTATGCCATGATTTTTTTTGTCAAATTCCATGCCTTTTTCGGGTTGTTTGCCGGCATTTTAGCCACGAGAAAAATGTCTGTCAACAGTTTTACACGTTTCTTAATAGTAAATAAAAGCTATTTTCGCAATTATAACACGTGAACCTTATAATATTTTTAGTGTAAAAATTTCACCCTTTCGATTGGCCGCCCCCGCTTTAAGCCCCGGGATCGCGCTGGCAGACATGACTATTTCATAATGGCTACACAAAAGGATACTTCACACAAAAAATTAGCCATGTAACGATGATAAGGTTTTTTTATGTAGCCAGCTCTCCGTCTATTATTTTCTAACAAATAAAATGTATGAGATATTGTAGCATTGATAGGTGCATTGGGAGAGGTACAGTGTGATAAGAATGATACTCTATGTTATTATTACTCTATACTCTATGTATTCTGTGGCTAATCAGCTGATACATAATTTAGAGGTTATGAGAAAAATTATTATGTCTTGTTTAGAAAATTATGCGCATTTTTTAATGTAAAAGGTTTTTCTGTCAAATTGATCAATATAAAGTTTTTCCTAAACTATAGCGTCTATTTTCCACAAAAGATCCCACAAACCTCAACACAGTGTGCTAAGGGTCGCTCAAAAACAGAACTCACTTTTCTTAAAGTCTCAGTGCGTCATGGTGGGAAGCGGTACTTAAAGAGACTAACAGAAAAAGCCTCAGAAAAGTACAGCGATTAGCAGCTCTAGGTACGACTGGAACAAGGAACAACGCAGCGCAAGCTGGGCTAGAAGTGATTCTGGGTTGTTCACCCTGTATATTGACGACACGGAGTATTGTAGCTAAACGATTAGATTTTTGCATATTGTAAGTTTTGAGTTCGTTGAGGGACTATTAGAGATACAATTTAAAAATATTTTTACAAGATACAGAGTGTCCCAAATAAATAAAAAATATCAAAGTTTTATTTTTTTTAAATGGAACACCCTGTATATTATTACATTTTTAGTTTCTACGATTAAAATAAAGGTAAATTTGATTAAGGATTACCATTTTAAAATTACCGTTTTTGAAATATGTATTTAGATTTTTGCCAAAATACAGTAATAATTTCAATGTTTCAATGCTCTAGGCGTATTTAAGTTTTTAAAACCAAATATTGTACTGATAAAAAAAATTATACTACCTTATACAGAGTGTCTAAAAATTGATTTTTAATAATTACTAGCTTTAAACGGCAATAACTTGTTTAATTTAAATGGAACACCCTGTATATTTTATGAGAATCAGATGAACAATTTAATTGTCTATTAAATTGTATTATGCCATTTTTTACCTATCTCTTCAAGTTTTCGCAGAATATGCATTTTCTTATAATTTAGACCTCATTTATCAATATACCCATGGAATATTGACATTTTAGATTATTTTTAAAGATGTAACACATTTTTAAAGAGTACAGATTCTAATATGGTCGATATAATTCGTTTATTTCATTAAAAAATAACTGTTTAAATATTTGTTATAGAGGACCAATTAATATGATTCCAGTATTCAAACTACATTTCAATTAAACACCTTAAAAATTTTATTTAATTTTTTGACGATTGTTTATTTATAACAACAGAGACGTTCATTTTCATAAGTTATTATTATATTGATTTCTGATTCAAATCCACATTTATTTAGAATAATTAATTTATTAACTAACACAATTAAGTATGTAATTAATTAATATTTGGGCGGAAATAATGGTGGTATATTTAATTAATGGTATACTCTTTTATAAAGACATAAATAGTTTTCTTTTTGTACACAAATAGACTAGTAATATTACCTTTTTAAGCACCTGTACATTTTGTACATTAGTTGTTTTAAAAACAACCTAAAATGTCAATATCCCATGGGTATACTGATAAATGAAGTCTAAATTGTAAGAAAATGCGTTTTCTGCGAAAACTTGAAGGGATAGGTAAAAAATGGTAAAATACAATTTGATAGACAATTAAATTATGATTCTGGTTCTCCTAAAATATACAGGATATTCCATTTAAATTAAATAAGTTATTGCCGTTTAAAGCTAGAAATTATTTAAAATAAATTTTTAGACACTCTGTATGAGGTAGTATTATTTTTATTATTGCAACACAATAACTGATCAATAAATAAACTTCAGCAAATATTTAGTATTAAAAACTTTCATACTCTTGGAGAAACGAAGCCTTAAAATTTTTACTGCAATTTCACAAAATTGAACATCACAACCTTAATCAAATTTACATTTATTTTAATCGCAGAAACTAAAAATGTAATAATATACAGCGTGTTCCATTTAAAAAAATACAACTATGATATTTTTTATTTATTTGGGACACTCTGTATCTTGTAAAAATATTTTTAAATTGTAGCTCTAATAGTCCTTCAACAAACCCAAAATTTACAACTTGTAAAAATCTAATCCTTTAGCAACAATACTCCGTGTCGTATGTGGTGAACAACCCTGTATACACTCCCAATAAACATTCTAATACTACATTATCCCATACATTTTATTTGTGAGAAAATACGGAAGATCTGGCAGCCCTGGAATCTTGCTCTATATGTTCAAGAACAGAAAGAGTCAATCCTATCCAGTGTTGCCTTTAAAAAAATAAATAAAAACTTATTTTCCATGATATACGTATTTTCACCTGGTCTAGAAACGATTGTTTACAAAATAATCAACAAAATAACTAAAACAAAAAGGCAGCTCTAGAGATCATTCTTTGCTCTTGTTGCCTTTTTTCCGGTGTATCCTTTTGTGATAACTTTGGGCGAACGAGTTCACTATTGATATCACGAAATACAGTATCATTACCAGGACGAATTTTTCGAAAACCGCCCCTAAGATGTTGCCACCTCCTCCCGGACTGACTTTTTTATTGGCTTTTTTGTGGAGCTTGATCTTCTGACCGTCCAAAAAGCCTTTAAAGGGTTCCTATAAAATTAAATTAATATTAAATACTTTAGTATATATCAGGGTTGAAAAGAAGACAATTTTTTTAAATTTTTAAACAAGTTGTGTTTTTTTACTTATTATTGTTTTAAATTAAATATAAGCGATACCCATTAAACTTTTAGTTACGTAATAGAGGGCGCGATTTTTAAATTCATTGTCGCCAACCAAGGACACATTCGGCACCGGGCTGAATAACTGAAATTTAAATTTCTTGCTAGGAATTCAGGTGGTAGTTCTACTGTAAAAAATGTCAAGTTGCCACAATTATTTATTTATTTAAGATTTATTTCCTAACATTGTCATTCGTTTTGACACTTTATTTTTGTATTATGAGTTTTTGGTTTAAATGAATCGGGAGTTTAACCATAGTTTTTTTATTGCAAATAATTAATCTTCATACAATTTTATGATACCCGTATTTTTTTATTTTACTTCAATTTCATCCCATTTTTTTAAAAATTAATCAATATTTTAGAATTTCAAATTTACACTTTTGCAATCTCTGACGTCACCTATCAAAAGTGTCACGGTTTGCAACCAGGTACAAAGGTAAATAAAAAACATTTTTCTAAAGGTATTTTAAAGTAGATATAAAATTAATTGTAAAATAAAAGTTAAGGAACTTACTTTAAAATGATCTTCACAGCAAAATCTCGTACTTTTGCTGACACATTGTCTTGCCGCTTCAAACCAGGCACTTCGACGGCTTTCATCCAAAAGAACAGTTATAAAACCTTTTTCTGGAGAGCCTTCAGAGTTATTTAGACAGCGCTTCACAAAACAAACTTTAACACCCTTCATTACAAAAATAATAAAGAGGGTACAATAAAACAAAATTGAAAACTCAAAGTATTTAACGCTAAACGCAAAATCCACAAAATACAAATCTAACCTCGAACCCTCGAACGCCTCGAACATCCGAACAACTTTGGTAGTGTTTAGTACTTTGATAAAAATGGCAGTAACCTGTTTAATTATAAAAATTTAAGTTTTAATTTCTAGTAGTAAAAAAATATAAAAGTAAATTTAATATTGGGGTAATAAAGAATAATCCCACATAAAAACGTATTTTTTAACGATCTTAATAAAAATAGAAAAATCTAACGTGATTTTAAGATATTTGGTGTAAATACGGTAGCGGAGAACTAGACACGCCATAATATTATTCTTCAGAGGCTCGCGCCCTCTGTCTACTATTCAGTCAAATGCTGATAGGTAACGTCACAATTTTCTACGCGTCATTTCAAACCAACCAGTGAAATTTGTATTGAATTTGATTTATTATTTATTCCTTAATTGTAACTTCGTTGCATTTCTTTTTGTATTGAGGGAGTACTTTTTAATCAATTCCAATTGAATTATATATTAAAAATAACAAGAATTTACTATTGTATTGTATTGACTAAGAGTGGGTCCCATGGGGGGACCCTTCACTGAGGCCGCGATAGGGCCTATTGTGGCTCAGTTTCTACACGCTCTAATTTACAAGAGCGTCAAAGTTCACCCTCAAGACCCAGCCTCCTAATATAGGCCGTTATGTCTGAGGGCGATATGTCTCCTAGGTCTGATAGGTCTAGCATGGGTTTGCCAAACATCTCGAACCTGATCCTGCTCCCAGCGGGGCAGGTACACATAACGTGCTTCATTGTTTCGTCATCTTCCATACAGAGTCGGCATTCGGCGTCTTCCACCAGTCCCGTCCTCTGTAGGTGAGATCTCAGCCGGCAGTGGCCCGTGTACACTCAAGTGTCACACCCAAGTACACACTTCCAGTCCCGGAACGTCGCACTCCTAACCCATTCACAGAGCATGTCTCTTGCGAGATTTTTAGGAACGCTAAGTGTCGGTTCTGGGCCCACGAATGGCGAGCCTGCACCAATTTTGGCGAGGGAATCAGCACGTTCATTTCCCTCTAGGCCGACATGTCCCGGTATCCATATTAGCGACACTTTGTTCCTATCTCCCAGTATATTGAGTAGTTTCTTACAATGAAGAATCGTCATAGACGTGCTTTTCGTTGCCTCAAGTGCTTTCAGCGCGGCTTGACTATCCGAAAATATGCTTATTGTTTTCCCGGTGTATTGCTGTTCTACCAGCAGTTGCACACAGGTTTCAATAGCATATAGCTCAGCTTGGAAGATCGTGGTGTGTTTTCCAAGACTGTAGTAGATCTCAGTCTTTGGACTAAGAATTTACTATGGTTAAACACCGGATTGTGTTGTGATACTTTAAGCTTAAACATTTTTACTAGCAGACCTTGCAGTCGAACATTGTTCTTTTTAGAATCTCTTTTAGTGCAAAGCGTACAAGATAGCTTAATAGCCGTTGTAAAAAACTCATCGCAACCTCATTAGAATATTTTGAACGGGAAAGCGATAATAATGGCCCTTTATGTCGCTTAAGTGCTGTTAAGGAGGTGAATTTTGTTGATGAACTATGAAAATAATAACTGTTTATATATTTATAATTAATTTATTTTTGTTTCCTAAAATATTTTGATCAAAAAAAAAATTGTAAAAGTGGGCGACGCTGTGCCGGTCAAGCTTAATCACGTGACTAAAAGTTTATTTGGTATGATCTATAGTATACAGGGTGTCCCATTTTCCTGAAATACAGAGCGAAATTGAAAATGTTGCATTTTTTGACCCCCTTCCTATCTCGATTATCAAATAACTTATCGAAAATCGAGTTCTGTAGCGTTTTTCACACGTAGAATCCAGTGGCGTAACTAATTTTTCGCTGGGAGCTCTCATTACCGAAATATGACTCAAACTTATGTTTTTTTTTAAATGGGACACCTTGTATACTGTCGGAATGGGCAACTTGTCTCCAAATTCAATTATTTAGAACAAGTTTAAAACCAGTAATGGTGTTTTAAACACTTTTAAAACACTTACCTGTAGTTTCTTTCCAATAACTGGTACCAAAACCAAATAATTTATCGCAGTTTCAATGAGAGTTTCATTAAATGCAATTATAACAAACAATTTTTGTATGTGCATTTTAATGATGGCCTTGCCTATCAGGGTGGCCCCAAAAAACGTCCAGAATGGAACGAGGAAATGACCGCAGGTTATACCAGCTAAGTCAAATAAGGGATTTGGTATCTAAAATAAAGTGATTTTCATTTAACTAAAAAAAAACCTGATGGTAATAATCTTTACTTACACTAGCACAAGCTAAAATGCCGAAAAATCCAACTTTTTGAACTAATTCCTCGACAAATAATTTTCCCTTTTCTATGATAGAAAGTTTTTCTCTGTTTTGTTGTTTTTTCTGTAGTGCTTCAAATTCTTTTAGTTCGTCGTCTTCATCATCTGGATCAATTCTAAAAAAAAAACATTATTTTTCATTTATATTGCTAACAATAATTAATATTTTTAGTAAGAAATAAGGTGTAGAAAAAGTATGACGAGATCTAAAAGTGATTTTACAATGGTTTTGTGTTACCAATATACAGGTGTCCAAGCTAAATCTAAAATAACTTAAAAACGATTTATTTTAGGTATAGGAACATGCATAATCAAAAAGTAACGAATTAAAAAACCTTTCGGCTAGTAAAATAAAAAAGGTAGGATTCCATTTGAAAAAAAAAAAAGTTTAACTAACTAATATAAAATTAAAAATCTAGTTGCACTTAGATTTTTAATTTTATATTAGTTAGTGGTCTAGTAAGCCAATATGTCCAAAAATATAAAAAGACTCATATTAGGTCTAAAATAAAACAAAAATTAAACAGAGTCCTCAAATATGGTAAAGACAATATACGTACCCAGACAATCTTGCAGCTCTAGCCATAAAATAAGGAGGAAGTTCCCCCAAGGCAGTACCGGCACCCCAGCACATGGCTTCTAACCTAACTTTGGACATAATACTTAATATTGTCACTGGAATACTACCTTCTTCCCCTTCTGCAGGACATACAATACTAAAAAGTACAAATTCATTACAAGGAATTCCATAGTAAACATGTTTGCAAACGTACTCTTCCGGATACGGTGGTTCTGGAAAATTTAAACTACCACATTCGTAACCAGCTAAAGTAACTGCAGCTATGTGGGGCCCAAGGTATAAAAGAAACGTGTGGAGCCCTGTACCTAAACCTACTGAAGATAAGACACCTAGAAATCGAAATTTTATTAAGCTTAAAACAGTAAATATAGAGTATTTTCAATTTACCTAAACCTGTCCAGTATAGACACCATAGAATTTTCTTATACACACCCTGTACAACTTGGTGGTGTGGTCCTTGCAAATTGACTAATAAATATAAAAATAATACTGAGATCCCAAATAATGTGACTAGAAGTTTATTGGCTAAGACACTAAAAAAGAAAGATAAATAGTCTTTAAAGAACGTTCAGATTATTTCGTTATTAAAAACGGCGTCAGAATAGCTCTCGACTGTATCTCAGTAGTATTACCCGTCTCAGTAGTAAGTATTAAAAAAAAATATAAAAAGATTATGAGAAATTGCTGGAAATGATTTCCAAATGTGTATAATGGCTGCTCGAGGCGCAACTGCTATAGCAAATAAAAAAATGGAATTTTAGCAAAGAATTAGCAGCGCCTCAAGAGCATTCTGGTAATTAGAAGACAGGGTTTTCTCCAATCATGATTTGAGCACAAAAACGAAATTTGCAGTGTATAGTATTTCCGAAGTCGGTTTGAATAAGAGATGAACAAAAAATTGCAACTTGCGATTGACTCTCATAGGAAACTGCGATTGAGATTTCTTCTATTTGCGAGTTTTAATTTAGGCAACCAGTATTATAACGTACACTACGTATCGGGCTTTTCAGTCACAGAAAAGCTTATGAAAGAAAACAGCAGGTGGATGACACTTCTATGGGAGAACTGGCAATGGTTGAAAACTTGACTACAAGCGATTTTCTAGGAATCTTCCTTACCGATAAATTATTGACAAGAGTGACAGATAAAACCTTGACATTCTTTCAGGATAACAGTTCATCTCTTTTTCTTTCTAAAGTGTGCGTTGAAAGGAGACAAAAATAATTTTTGGTGACCCATAATTTGTTATTCGAACACCACTTTTCTCCTTGTCGGGTCGTTGACGTTGACTTGTCGCCATTTTATTTCTTTTGTTTACACGCTGCAGTTTGCTTTGTAAAATTAATACATAAATTATTTAGGCAAATATAGGTTTTTGATAAAACTCTTTGGACTAACGTGTAGGTAAGTGTTGATAAATAAGTTTTTTTTTCATCTTAACATGCTCATTGTCATTCTCCTGATTTAGGTGACAGAAAAGGATCATCAAATCAAATTGAATTTTATATTTCTTCATCCCAGGACCGATGATACCTTCCTAAATATCAACGAGATGAGCCATCGGAAGAAAGGGACCATAGTACAAAACAGAAAGGTGACTTTTTTCTTTCCACTTAGGATATTGAAATTATTATATACTGTAGTCGTGTTCGGTATTATGCTCTGAGAAATATAGATAAACAAAGAACAACAGATATAAAGCACCCCAGAGGAAAAGAGAGGCAATACCTGTACTCTCTCTCTGATATTTGTGAAAGTTACGGCAAAGTATTGTTGTAAATGTCATCTTTTTAATCGACCTGAAAACTTCGAGCAAAAAGATGACACTTTCAACAATACCCTGACAGATATCAGAGACGATACAAGTTTTTCCTCTCTTTTCCCCTGGAATACTTTTAATTTATTATTCTTTGTTTATCTAGATTTCTAAGAGCACTATGAACGAACTCAGCTCGTATGTTTGAAATAATCATCCAGTTGGCTTAAAAATGATGATCGGTGACATTTCCTATATAATTTTACTTTCAAAATTATGATATATATATCTTCATTTCTAAGCCATCTATGACGCCATTTTTTTCAGTTTTGTTATAATTAATTTTGTCTCTTGATCTACTTGTAACATTATTCTTTTAATTTTATTAATTTATTTTGGTGAAATTCATTTCTGTTGTATATTTGATATTGATATTAAACATATTTTTAAAAAATGGTGTATTTTTTGTGTTTTTATCTGTCATAATTAAAAATAAATGAAGAATTAAAAATTTTTATTTTTTTAAACTTCCCGCCATGCGTGACAATCTAGTCCGTAGTTCCTACAAGCGATATTGGGGGCGCTAGTAGCAGTAGACTTGTCAACAGTGTCAAATTTAAACGTCAATTTCACTTTCCAATATTTAGCAAGGCGCTCGCACTTCTCCTTGTGTATGTGTTTTGTGGAAAACAGCTTGTGTAACCATCTTCTGATGCGTGTCAAATAGTCGTCAGCGAGTAATGGCAGTAGTAATAGTAGTAATAAGTAGGAGTGTAAGTTATATGATGATACCAACTAAAAAACTATACCTACGACAAATATGCCAAATACTTACTTTTTACCATAATGAGCTAGTAGCTCTCCGCATTCTCTAACAAAATATTCTAACGTCAACAATGGCTTCTTCCACAACACGATATTTTCCCTCTCATCTCGCTCTTTGACTTTCTGTTTCTTTTGGGCTTCACTCGTCGAGTTTTTCGTCGACTTTCCGTTGGCATTATTTTGTACTATGTTTCCATTAACGTTAGCGGTGACATCTTTTCTTTTGGTTGCCATCTTGTAGCCCAAGCGTTGAAGCTGAAAAAAGAGCGAATGGTTTTACCATATTTCATTTATCAATATATATGCCAAAAAAAAAACAATCAAATAAAAAATGATTTATTTATAATATTTTGACAATTTGTATGTATAGAATAATTTTAAACACGCCTGTATATTACATGAGACAAAAAAATCTATCCCAGACAATAAAAATTTGGGATATAGCCAAATTAATTTTCAGCACCAGACAGTAAAAACCTATTTTGTTGAACTCAAATACCTCTGCTAAGTCAATAAAATATCCTAAATTCAATTATTTAAAAATAATTGAATAAGCGTTCGGCATTTAACGTTTTATGTAAAACTGGCTAGGTTTTTTTACCACAAATGAAGAAGGAGAAATTAAAGATAAAAGATTACAATATATATGCATTGTACCACATTTTTAGACAACTTATTTATTTTTAAGATTTTGACAGTCAAACATCAACATAATATTTCTTATGTTTGGACTAAATTTTCTCGAAATAAGACATAATTTAAAATTCCGCTAGAATACGGAAATAGATTGAAGTTTTGTGATTACAGTGATATATAATTGCTGAACAAATGCTGAAGCTCTGCAAACAGTAATTTTAAAGCCTTAATCAAAGCACGTGTGTTTGGCATTTGTCAGGATAAAAAAAACAACTTTTTTAAAACTTTACAATATATCGAAAAATAACTAAATATGAAAATAATATTTGCAATGAGAGATGCAGAATTTTATAGCAATTTAAACTATATTTAACCAACATCAACACATTTAAACTATATCTAATAACAATAAAAATAAATTGCAAACCAAGATATGAGATTTTGCTACAGGTGTCCGACATATCGACTGTCTTTCGGTCGTTCGGAAATCGGCGTAACCACCGTAATAAGTAATAACAAGTCCGGACAGCTATGACGTAAAAATCTCGTGACGTCACCAACTGGAGGCTCAACTCGATTTAGCAGCGTTGATAATTACCCGATAAAAGTTCAAATTGTGGATCTTTTTTCACTCGCCAGATATATTTCGAAGTTTTAAAATGTCTTCTCCGAGTTTTTAAAAATATTATAGTATACAGGATTGTTCACCACATACGACACGGAGTATTGTAGCTAAACGATTATATTTTTACAAATTTCAAATTTTGGGTTCGATGAAGGACTATTAGAGGTACAATTTAAAAATAATTTACAAGATACAGAGTGTCCCAAATAAGTAAAAAATATCAAAGTTGTATTTTTTTAAATGGAACACCCTGTATATTATTACATTTTTAGTTTCTACGATTAAAATAAAGTTAAATTTGATTAAGGTTTATTATACTTTACTGACATTTTAGATTCTTTTTACAGATGTATCAAATTTTTAAAGAGTACAGATACTAATATTGTCGATATAGCTCATTTTATTATTGACACCTATGGAATATTGACATCATATATTGACATTCTAGTAATATTATCGTTTTGCTAAAAACAATAATGTTGTATGCAAAAAGAAAACTATTTAAATCTTTATAAAAGAGTATACCATTAATTAAATATAGCACCATTATTTCCGCCCATATACTAATTAATTACATACTTAATAGTATTCGTTAATAAATTATTCTAAATAAATGTGGATTTGAGTCAGAAATCAATATAATAATAAGTTATCAAAATTAAAGTCTCTGTTGTTATAAATAAGCATTTATTAAAAAATGAAATATCATTTTTAAGGTGTTACTTTTATCACACTGTCTAATACCCATACAAAATTCAGTTTTTTAGTATTTGGAACAATTATTATAAATCAATGCAGTCAGTTAATGTAGTTTGAATACTGGAATCATATTAATTGGTTAACAAATATTTAAACAGTTTTTTTATTTTTTAATGAAATAAACGAATTATATCCACAATATTGGTATCTGTACTCTTTAAAAATTTGGTACATCTTTAAAAATAATCTAAAATGTCAATATTCCATGGGTATATTGATAAATAAATTCTAAATTACAAGAAAATGCATTTTCTACGGAAACTTAAAGAGATAGGTAAAAAATGGTATAATATAATTTGATAGACAATTAAATTGTGCATCTGATTCTCCTAAAATATACAGGGTGTTCCATTTAAATTAAACAAGTTACAAATATTTCAAAAACGGTAAGGTTTAAGTATAATAAACCTTAATCAAATTTACCTTTATTTTAATCGTAGAAACTAAAAATGCAATAATATACAGGGTGTTCCATTTAAAAAAATACAACTTTGATATTTTTTACTTATTTGGGACACTCTGTATCTTGTAAAATTATTTTTAAATTGTACCTCTAATAGTCCTTCATCGAACTCAAGACTTACAATTTGTAAAAATCTCATCGTTTAGCTACAATACTCCGTGTCGTATGTGGTGAACAACCCTGTATATAAAAATAGTTTTAATGGAATACGGAAAAAATCATACCAGTCAATAAATGTTTATTTTTACGTATATAATGGATATTTTTATTTAAATTTTTTATTCAAAAGCGCAATATCTGTTATGATGTCAAACAGCGCCCTCTAGCTACCACGAAAAAAAATTATGGAAACAAAATTTATACTGGAGATCATTAAGGAAGAAAAGCCCTTTTAAACGAGCCCTAGTTTGTTTAAATCGGCTAACCTAAACCAGAGTTATCCTTATTTTAATAAAAGCAAATTTAACCTTCTTCCAGCACTGTATTTTATGAGATAGAGCAAAATACTCTATATTAAAAAAATTACAAATTTTTCGGTGATTACAATAGTAATATTTAAAATACCTGTTCATCTGCATATTTTTGAGAAAAACTCAGTTTTCTGATTGGCTAGCAGAGAAACGCCTCCTAGCGGAAATTTTTCGAACTTGAAAATAATTTCCAGCTATTTCTCTTGGTCGATTTACTTATTAGAATTTTTTTCCCAAAGTTATACGATAAGTAGTTTCTGAGATACAGCCGGCGTCCATTCTTAGTTGGCCACCCGGTACTTTTGTGCTTAGGTAAAAAAGTGATTTACTTTTATGCCTAATAACACAGATAACACTTAGCTAATAATTTAAATTTGGTATTATTTATACTCCAAAAACTAAAACAATTTATTTATTATTTATCTCGAGCTATTGATTGTTGATTTTCAAAAAAAAACATCATTATCAAGAATAACACAGATTTTAAAATTACCAAAGAAAACTTTTTTACTTACTATTTTTAATACAGGATAGAGCAATGTATCCTCGTTTGATGTCATGACGAAAAACCAAAACTTCCGATCAAATAAACCAAAAAAAACTATCTAATTATAAAACAGTAAAACACCAAAGTACGTCTATATGTAATTACTCTCTACAGTAAACTATTCATATACAATAATACACCGCACACAAGTTCAACAACTTTCTTTCCACGATCCGTTTGAAAGTAAACGCACCACCAAGTTGCAACGAAAAAAGCTTCTTTAAAGATAGATATTAAGACACGATTTCACTTGTGCATCTTCTTCTAGCTCGCTGAAAGTAGTAAGGAGTGTTCTTGTTGCTGAAAATAAATTGGCTTTCACCAGTGCAATCATCCGATATCGCGCGATCTTTGAACTACCTCTCGTGCCATGCTTGTTTCTAATTTACTGGCCAATTTTTGAATTTTCTATTTCCGTATAATTCCGCGCGTATTTTTACCGGAAAACTACGTAGCATACTTTACCGGGCGTTTCTTAAAAATGACTCTCATCCCTATAACTTTTTTATTTTTTTCAGATAATAAAACCTTATACATAAATGCCTTTATGGTCAAAAAAATGTACAATTTGTAGATAAAGGTAAAGTAAACAAACAAAAGAGAATACAAAACAAAACAATAAATTACATTGTCAGTCTTATTGTTTAAAATAAACATTTATAAATGTTTACAATTTTAAAGAATAAAAAAAAATAAAAACAAGATTCAAAAATATTTAGTAAGTTTATAATAAATATAGTAATTATACATAGGATTTGATTTCAAATGGCCGGTGATTGTGCATTTTTCGAGTTGTATAATATTGAACTTTTAACTAACTCTGAGCGTGGAGTAGGCTTAGTAGTCTAAGGGAGTAGGTAAAGATCTTGATCTTCTCCGCGTTCCTGAGTGGATAAGTGTGAATTGGCCTTTCTTGAGGAACTGATACATGTTTACGTATTAGGCAAACGGATTCAAATATAAATAAGGAAGGAAGAGTTAATATTTTTATTTTTTTAAAAAAGTCTTGGCAATGTGTTCTGCTGTTTAGTCCCAGTGAATAGCGAACAGCTCTCTTCTGGAGCTTGAAAAAGCTCTAGTTTTAGAAATGTTGAGACTCAGGAGGTTAGAGTAAATTAGAATAAATAAATAATAAAAATAAATACTTAGAATAAAACGAAATTTGGTAGGTTATTTTACGTTGTGTAACAAAATATATTTTAACAAAACTTAAAATAAATCTTAAGAGTCTGTTTTATGTAAAACTGTCTAGGTATTTTTACCAGAAATGAAGAAGGAAATTAAAGATAAAGTATCACACTATATCCGTATTGTAGGACATTTTTAGACAATTTCTTTATTTTTAAGATTTTGCTCGCTATTTTATGGCAAATGCTGAAGCTCTGCAAACCTTAATCAAATCACGTGTATTTGGTGTGATTTAACACGATAGGATCGGGCCAAGTCTTAGGCAGATTTCTGAAATATAATATACAGACCTGGTCATGCTATTACCAGAGTACCTAAACCGACGAGTAGCGACAGTCCCGTTTTCAATTTTCTTTGCGGCTGCGCGAAATAAGTAGGTTATCTGTCATACGAAGAAGCGAAGTTGCCACTGTTGCCATTTATCAAATATCTCTATATACTTTATTTCAAGTATATCTCAGGCAACGAATCGTTTTTTTATTATTTATTAGTAGTAAGATATTTTATACATTCAAATTTAGAAATAAGGATAAAACAAAACAAAAAAGTTTCAATTGTGAGCAGTGT